CTGCAGTACCGCGCGTAAAGCGAGCTGCCACCCACCAGCGTCAGCGTACCGAACGAGTACAAACCAAAACCACCGTACCTCAAGGCATGCGCCCTGACGTTGCTGACCAACAGCGAAGAAGCAGTCAACACAACGTCGTGCAGCAACAATACGCTACACATGTTGTTCACGGTGTCCGGCAAATGGACCGCGGAAGACTGCACCACGTCAACCTCCGTGACGGCGATGTCGCAGAGCTGCGGGAAGGCAAGTGCAAAAGCAACAACGGAGGACCGCATCACCGTCAGGCTCACACGGATCAGGACGCCGGCTGACTCGGCCGCCTCAGCACCCCCAACAAACTGCAGCGCGGCACCCTCAAGAAATGTGCACCCAGTGATCGTGATGTTAATGGGGAGATGCAGCGGCATACTGTCAAAAAAAAACGTCAGCACAGCACCCACGCCGCTGAATGTCACGCCCACGTAGCAGTGGTGCGTCTTCCACATGTTCAGCGTAAGGCTCGTCAGCGTCTGGCTCACTACGCAGCTCGTGTCGCCGTCGACGGCTCTCTCCGGCAAGGGCGGCACAACCGTGTCGGGCACCTCGAAGGGAAGACACGACGCGCCATGCCATCCGTCCTTGCAGCTGCACGAGCACGAGCCGCGGTCCACCGACTCCGTGCCGGGCATGTAGCACGCCGCGTCGTCGTTGCATGTGCCACACCTGAACAGCACCACTTCCTCCGGAAACACATCGTCGTACAACACCTCCTCATCGCCCTGCGGGTTGCACCCAACGACCAACCGCGCAGGCGGCTTCACGACAATGCTCGATGCAAAAAGGTTGCAAAAGACAATGCTCCCGTCCACCTGACGGTTGTGTGCGAGCGCCACAGTAGTGCCGCTGCCCGACAAAAGAATTTCGTGCAGGGTATCTTCCATAGTTATTAGGGAGGCTGCGCTCACGCTGTTGCCCTCCACACGCCACTGCGCACCACCCTGAAGTGTCACAGAGCCTTCCAAATACAACAGCGCGGGGAAAAAAGACCCCGCTCTGCCAAAAAGAGTGCAGTCCGCCACTCTCAGCAGCCCCGCGGAGCCCACGTTTGTATCCCCAAAAAAATAAATGCCATTAGCCGCGCTCATCGTGTTGTTCTCAACGTCAATGTAGCCGCCCTTCTTCACATCAATATTTCCAACAAAAGCGGCCGTCTGCACTTCGTCCTCATCCGCCGTTGATAACAGCGTGTTTCCCTTCACAATGATTCCGCCACCATCAACAACAGTGTCGGATATATAGACTGCGTTATTATTCCCCTCGATGCGGTTTTCAATTAGCAACAGCGTCGAGGTCGCACCGAGAAAAAAATCCGAGAAGGCAATAGCGTAGCTCAACGTCGACACAATCGCACTGCCCGCCACCATTATCTGGGATCCAGTGCCAAAATAACCCCTGAACTCCAACTCACCAGAATCCAGCATCGAAGATGTCACGCTCACGTGCACACGCCCACCACTCCCCCTGACCGACAGGCCCACGAGGACGCACTGCAGCAGCGTGATGTTGAGTGTCTGCTCCGGTGCGTCGAAACGCGAGAGGTCCAGCACGATCGCGGCGGTGAAAGTCACGTTGACAAAGCACAGACCACGCACACCGGGATCAGGATATTCCACGGAGCTGATGCTGCCACCGTGCACGCAGCGGACCTCCGTGTCCTTCGCATCTGAGAGCGGGAACGGTCCAAGGCCGTCCGGAACCGCAGCTGGCAGACACGTGCCACCGTAGCCGCCAGCAGCGCACACGCACTCACAGCCGCTGATGCCGCTCGTCCTCGCTGCAAAGCACTCGGCGTCCACAGTGCACACGCCACAGTCCAACACCGTCACGGGCGTCCCAATATTGAGGTCTTCTCCGTAATCTGTCACATGAGAGCCTTTTGCCTCGTTGCACACACCGTAGATGGTCAGGCGCGAGTCGGATGGTGGTAACCACTTGCTTGTCATAAGTACAATGGATGACGAGTACGAGCCATGCTTAAAGTCGTTCTGAAGTATTGACCACACACTCCGATCGCAAAACGCAACGCCATTCTCGTCGGCCACGTACACGACGTAGGCGGTGCGGAACTCGTTGCCGCGGTGCACGAGCCAACTGCCACCAGTCACGGTCAGCACGTTTGTGATGAGCATGGCAAAGCCGAGACGGAACGTGCCGGACACAACCTGCAGCACGCTGCCGCCATCCACCGCAACGTCCTCAAACACACACGCACCTTTGTAGTATTCGATGCTCAGCGCGCTCCATGAGCTGTTCTGTATGGAGAACACGGAGCCGCCGCTGACACGCAGGTCTGACGCAAGACCGTGCATCACGTACGTCTCCGAAATAACAGCGCAGTTGTCCATGTAGAAGACGCTGGACAGGTTCACGCCGAGGCCGCGCTCCACGAGGATCGTAGCGCACGAGGCACCGCCACACACCAGACTCGACCGCGTCATGACAAACCGCGTCGACAGTAGCCGGACGCCGTCCAGGACAAGCGTGGGGCCACACCTCAATCCCGCATGGCCAGGTGTCGTCGGCACGTACTGCGACCCGCCAACTGTCGCACGCAGCGTTGAGTTCGCCAGCAGAACACTCGAGTGCGGCGGCATCGCGCCATGCAGCACGACCGTTCCCTCCAGCGACGTCACGTTCGTCATGTTGACGAGAGCGCGGGGCATCAGGCGCGCCGTGCTCTCGCTGAGGCCACCAATCCGCAGCTGCGCGCCGGCCGCAAGCACGCAGTGGCGCAGCGTCACGTTCAGCACGTCAGCGAACGCTTCCATCAAGCGCAGGTCCACCGCCACAGTGATCGGCCCGCTGAACACCACCGAGTCGAAGCACGCCGTCGCCCGCCCACCGCCAACCGTCACGGACTCCGTCAGCGTCACGCCACTCA